GGGCTGAACCAGCACCAGCACCAGAAGAACAGGGATCTGGAGATGCGGTTCCAGAAACGTTCGACCAGAATGAAGGACAACAATCGCAATCACAAGAAAAGCGCGAGTCAGAAGGCGATGGTCAGGCGGAAACTCAAACGAACATCCCTCCACCACAAAAAGATATATATTACTATGATCTGAACAGATTTCTCACGGAAATTATTATAGAACATCAATTGGAGGATGAAGGATTATCTGATGCGAGTGGACTTGGCACAAAAGAAAGTCGATACATTTCCGTATATGATCCTTGTGTACGAGCAGGAGATGACGGGGCAAGCAAGAAAAGAGGACCTGGAGAAGAGCGAAAATCAGGGAAACTCATTAAGGGAGATGAAAAGAGAGGAGAGATGAAGGATACGAGAGCATTGCCAGATATAAATGGATTACTTATCTGTGAACAACCGGATGAGTATCTTTTCTGGGATGATTTTAATATGGGGGGACAAGCGAAGGAGACGGTGGGAAAGGAAATCGCAAAGATGGTTAGAGAGGGGAAGACGTTGAGGAAGAGTTGGGGTGATGGGACGGTACCCGGAGTGTGAGTGAGTGGGAGGTTGTGGGAAGCCAAGGAAGTTAAATTTACGAATAAAGCATTTTTGGAGTTTTGAAGTGGAAAGAAGCGTGCATAGCATGGCATGGAATGGAATGGAAAGGCGTTTGGGTTTGGGTTTGTGATTGTGATTGCGATTGTTATTGCAATGGATACTCTTTTTGCGGAGTGGATTTTTTATATATTTGTATATACCTTTATTTTGGGTTTTCGGATGCTGGAGGTGGATGGGGGAGGGGTGAACGTGGGGGGGCTGGGTGGAGAGGTTGAGGCAGGGTACAATGTTATGGTTTTAGAGTATCTATATATATATACCCATGCGATTTTCTTTTGTGGATATGATGAATGAGGGGGGCAGAGGGAGATGGAGATGATGTATGTAGGTGTGGTTGGAAAGTAGAAAGTAGAAGTTTACTTAGAGTTATGTGTCTGTGTATACTTGCTTGCTTGTTGATGGTGATGGTGATGGTGATGGTGATGAAGTTGAAGGTATGGGATGATGAAATTTGGAGGAGAATTGTGTGGGTAATTGGTTTGAGAAGGATACGGAAGACGTAGCACCCACGGTATTCGTAGGTCCTAAGTGTCTATATTGTATTCTATCTGAAAAGCTAGCTAAGTTACAGGAAATTGTAGGTCTTATATAGACGCTACAAGAGGAGCTAGTCTCTTCTGCTCTCGCTTGAAGCTACTGTATCCCGCATTCGCTAAAGACTGCAATACAGTAGCTAATGAATTGAAGCTATTCACTAGATCCTAATGATCAGTGTTCATACAGTAATTTTGGGGACATGGAATGAAGGGTGTGAGGAAGGGTGTGTAGGGATGAGAAATGAGAATGGGAATGAGAATGAAAAATTGTATTATGAGGGTGAGAAAGAGAATGGATAAGTAAGTAAGTGAGTAAGTGAGTAAGTGAGTGATTAAGTGAGAATGGGAACGAGTAAGGGGGGAATGGAATGGGGATGGAAATGGAAACAGATTTCACCAAATTTGATCAGAAGGAGAATGAGTGGAATGAGGAGGGAGAAAAGGAGAAGAAAGAGGAGAAGAAAAGAGGAGAAGAAAAGAGGAGAAGAAAAGAGGAAAACAAGGCTGAGAGGGAGAAGGAAGAAGGGAGAGGGAAGATGGCGAGGAAGATATAGTATGAGGTGTATGAGGTGTATGAAAGTGTTAAGTTATTAGGAGTATTGATTATGGGTTTAGGAAAAGAAGAGATGAGAGGAGAAAAGAGGAGAGGAGAGGAGAGAACAGAAAAGGAGAACAGAGAGAAAAAGGAATGAGAATATCGTGGTACATATCGATCCATATATCATAAAGTAGCGCATACACCAAAGTCGTAGAGAATTATGTCTAAAAATTGAAAGCGTAGGAGTGGTAGGTAGGTATGTATGTATGTATGTATGTATGTATCGTTAGGAGAGAGTAGCCGAAAGTAGAAAGTTGGGATGCGGTGGAAGGAGACAAAAGAGAAAGTGAGTAGCTATTTAGTAGTTGTCGATCTTGATGTTGTGCTCTGTGCCGAGTGGGGATCTGTCTGTGCGAATGTCAGGCGAAAATTAGGGGGAGAGTGAAAGTGGACGATGGAAGGGTGATAGAGAGGTTGTGAGAGCTGAGAGAGGTTGTGAGAGCTGAGGGGTGAAAAATACATGTAGGTTGGATATTGGTAACTGATAAGTATTTCAATTCAGAAGATCGATACGAGAGAAATTCTAAAAGGGGAGTGGGATGTAACGAGCGTTTCGTTATTCATTAGCAAGCGCTGATTCTGTCCACAATTCTGGATCCAATAGACGAGGTGTCAAATTACTACAATCGCTGTGTATTAGCCTGTTATTATGAATCGACAGCTGTTATATTATAAAGCGACTACCTTTGACAGAGTGCAGCAGGCAAATGATACGTATTTCAGGACTTACCCGTATCATTATAGTTGTTTTCGGAGATCAAGACAGTATTGTGAAGCTACTTTAGCACGTGCAGCTCATCTCGGAAATGTGATGTAGAGATTGGAAAGCTTGACCACTCACTTATACATCCACTCAAACTCGCCAAAAGAGCAACTATATACGTGTAGATGAATTGGTTCTCAAGACGTGAATGACTTGCATTTAATAGAATTCAAAGAGAGGAAGATAGAAATTCAAAGGGGCTGCGTACCAGATATTATTTCCAATTCTGTTCTTGAAACAGATGCTTTGAGTCCAAGTCGAGCAAGATGGTTGGTATTGAACATTCAGAAAACTTCACATGTGAAATTGTGGAAAAGTTAGCTGTGAAGCTAGCGATGGAAGCGAGGGAGATGGTAGATATGGGTTCTGTGTGTGATAGCTGGAACTAAGGGAGTTAAGCGAGCTCGGACAATGAAACTAATGCGGAAGAGCGACAGTTGAGGGTTTGGGACCAGATTATGAAGTTTAAATCAATGTTATGGTGTCAAAATGATGAGGGAATGTAAGAGTTAAGGCCCCGGCTTATTGCACACCACCCTTTTTCGTGATAAAATCCCCGCAAAAATACTGTTTTCCTATATAAATTAATTATTTTCATAATTCTTTAACTATTTGAAGAATTAATTTGAAAATTATATATTTAAGAAATAACTATATAAAGAATATTCGGTTTGAATAGTTCCTTAAAATTATAAAAATTAATAAAATTATAGGGTTTTAAAACTGAAATTTTTCAAAATTTATAATATATAATGCTTTTTCTATATAAAAAAAATTACTTATTTTAAGTTTTTTAATACTTTCAATTTTAAGAACCTATAACTTTATTAAAAAAAAATAAGTAAAAAATATTCCATTTGTTTTTTTGAATCATTTCAATAATTTTCAATCTTATGTTATTTTTATAAATTTAATTCATAAATTAATTGAATTAATATATAATTTGAAAGTTGAAGAAATGAAGGTTTTTTGTAGCACGCTACCCCGTAGCGTCGCTTACCTAAGAAGTGTATATAATAGTGTAGTCTCGAGAGAGAAGAATGGAACAGCTTTTACAACAATCACAAAGATGCACCCACATTTTTGGTGTGTTTTCGCTTAGTGTGCGATAAGCCGGGGCCTAAACTCTTACGATTGTTTAAGAGAGCATCGAATTCAGTATAAAATCTCACAATGTCGGATTTATCCATCAAAAATCTTGAGGCATAGTCAGTGCGATGGGAATTTCTTCACTTATGTTAATGTCATTCGGTTCTCCCGAATTGAAAGGTACCCAGAATCTTGACCCGATAGTAGTACTCATTTGTGGCTTTAGATTCTTGCAGATTATCTTGCTAATAATTTGCCTTGGGCCAATTTTGCTTCATACGGTATTTTTCGGATCCATTGTACGATTTATTAGAATTTTACCCTGATTTCATGTAGCAAGGACTAATCTAGCTACATTTTTCCGGCATTCTGTTGGGAAAATTCTCAGGCCACTCAGTCTGATACTGAATATGTGCAACATATGATGTTCGCTTCATGACTAGCGTGACAACAAGGTGTAACTTGTAAGGCTTGTGTCCAGGGTTGACCTTGGCATCACGTTCCCAATATTCTTTCTCGAGCTACCGATGGGCTCTCTTACTATGATCGTTGTAGGCGAGAATACTTTTCTCAATAATTTCACAAAACCAACACAGAGGCTGGTATCTTGACAATTTCCAGCTCATGATTTAAAATCAAGTACTTGAGAACCTATCCGACTTCGACTTCTTGTACAACCGAGCTTTCGTGCTCTTCCTCTGATACTTTCGTCCAACCGGGCTCGCTAGAAGCACGTCTGTTTGTTATCCGCATTAAATTAGATGCCCATTACAGACCTCTGGGGTTCCACGGATAAACAACTCACTTTTGATTTTGATGCATGTCTTACTTGGATATGTAGTGCAACACAGTTTACTTCTTCCAGTAAGACCAGCTGTTGGTATATCCTAGCCCTACAACGAATTGCCGAGCCTCAGCTATGACCATTGGATTTCAATAGCATGATGTTATTCTCCATTTTGATGGAAACATTGATTGTTATTTGATTCATACTCGATTTCTCAGAGCTTCCCAGATGCTCATGAATTTCTTAACTTAGAGCTTACCAATTGCATTGACTGTCAGTGATAATTGATAAATTGGTTGTCAGTCTAGCCGGATACCTACGGCGGCATCTTTCACCAGTGGAACGGCCAATGCTATTGTAATTTATCAAGCCAAGAAGATTGTTCTACGAGTTTCCGCCTTCTCAACTGCCGTCTAACCACCTACTTTCCACACTCAAGTTGAAGGCATTTTGTACAAAGCCGAGGAAGAACATCCAAGTGCTTGCCGATAAATTTACCAGCCTATAAGAAGGCTTTGAATTTGACCTCTTTTGGTTTTGCACAACCTCACAAAGCGGTGCTTCACGGTATCAATCAATGGACGTGAAATCGTGCGTAGGTAGTCCAGATGCCTTTTCTCATCCATTGACTCGGGCTTCGGATATCAATCGCCGTCAAGGAGGTCAGGGACGCGTTACTTGTGGATATTACTATGGAGATACGCAATCTCCTTTATATATGGGAACAGACTCAACCTGTACAACGGCATATCCTCTTGGAATTTGGGGTTCCTGTATCTATAGTAGCAACGTTCCAGTTTGTTCGCTTTATGGTGCTTGTGTAGACGACACTAGATGCACTGACGGATGTACGCCCAATGTCAATTCTAATATAAATGCTATTACAGTCACATTATCTTGGTAGGTTCTCTCACAATTTGAAGTGGATAAGCTGGTCTAATAGCTATATAGTTCTACAGATTACTGCCAAAGCTACTTGCTGTCTGACCAATCAAGCCCCAGTCTTGGCACCCAGACTTCATATACTTGCAACAGTACCTCGCAAATAGCACCGGTACTTATTTTTGCGTCAGCACTAGAGACTCCAATGAGCGTGCTGGCCAGCACGACCTCGGTTTCTGATATATTGGTTACCTCATCATTTAAATCTGGATTTATTGTAGCTTCTACATCTTTTGATCGACAATCAAGTTCGAGTTCGTCTACTTCATTAACTAACTCCCTATCAAGCTCCAGCTCCAGCTCCAGCTCAACACCAAGTACACCCCAAGAAACAATAACAACTGTATCTCCAAACCACGCCAATTCTTCTCACAACAGTACCGGCATAACAGTAGGAAGTACTATAGGAGGGGTTGCCCTTATTACCTTAATAATGCTCATAATGTGGCTCCTCCGTAGACACAGAAAAAGACACGCTCAACTATCAAATACCGAACCACATTTCGATATGAGAGATCCTAGCGATCACGTGCTCGAGTTAATGGAAAAGAGTGGGAATACACCTGAGATCGAAGGAGAAATGCTAAGAGCAGAGATGGAAACCCCAAGAATAAATATGGAGCCGGCTAAGATAGACAGTCCTAGGCTTAATAGTGAAAGGTTTGAGATGGGGGCGTAAGGATTTTTATTAAATGGTGGGGGATGAGAAGGTGAAACTGTGCTATTGCGTGTTTAAATTTAGATAGAGGCCAGCCTCGTATTATGTGGTGTTCTTGCCAAGGTTTGCACTCATCATACTATCACTAACACATCAGAAATTGAGATCCGCAGATCGAACGTTCAATATCTGTGAATAATCACTTAATAGATGCGAGGTGCAAAGTTCCTCATTTAGTCGAATTTAATGGTAGCAAATGACCAAAAGGATTCTGGGGAGGATCGCCCCTGTTCAGTTTCATGTGGGAATACCGACACACATTGGGAGAAACTTTGGCAACCCAGCATGCGGTGAGCCTGAACACATGCAGGATGATATGCCTCTAGAATTGCGAAAGATTTAACGCACCGAATAATACTTGAATTCCACTCTAGAGCCTTCTTATGTCGATCGATTATTCTCGCGGACGTTATTAGCTTGAGAGCAGCCATTCTACGACGTCTGTAACTCACATCTCCATACTACTTTCATCGAAAAGAAATTTACCATGTCGGAAAGAATCTCTTTGGGGACCAGTATAGTCCAGATAATGGCGACTGCAACTTTGCATGAACCATCGTACATTACTGTGACGTCAGTTAGCACCATGATAGCCTCGGGCTCTATTTCATACATAAGCGCTGCAAGCGAATCATCAATATACTTATACATAACTGTCAGCAAGACAGTAAATGCAACATCTGTTCCATCGTCTACCGAGTCACGTTCCTTGGTGACACTTACCTCTCGTTCATTGGCGCAAGAAACAGAACTTGAAGCGTCATTGACTCAAAACTCCAATGACGCGTTTAATTCTCAGTCATTGGTTCAAGAAACAGTATCCATTCCATCACCAACTCAATCATCTATCGAAACCCCTCATCAAAATACAACAGCAATCATCGCAGGTGCTTTGGGGGGATTTATCTTTGTGTGTATGCTTCTCGCAGGGTTCTACTTTCTCCGTGGTTATCAATTGAGGCACCAAACCTCAACTGAATTTAGAAATGGCCATCCAATACTTCCCGGGAAAGATGATGGAAATGATCATGTTCATGAGATGACAGGAGAAGGAAGACTCGGATGTCCCCGGCAGGAGATTGAGGGGAATAGTGTTTCTGAACTCGAACAACGAGGTAGCGGAAATCATCAGGAACCAGTTGAGCTTTCATCTTCTTTCCATCGCATCGGTACAAGCTACTGGTTATGAAATCTTCAGCGCAGAATGTTGACTCTGTAAATATGATTCTCACGTCCTCTGTAAAAATTCTATTTATCTGAAGTTTCTGAGGGCATCAGCTTGCTATATTCCAAGCCTTCAGGGCCACGCCAAACTAGTCTGGTAGATCAATCCAGTTTAAACGTCAGACATTCCTACCTCCTTTTCGGCTTTGCTACTCTATTTCTGTTCATATCATAGAACTTTCCTTAGTCCTTTTTATATTAAACTTTTGGCCTTTGTTACTATCCGGTGTCTCGTGTGGCATCTTGTCGAGTGAGTAGAAGTCTTCTTAAGCTCGACAGCGCGGAATCCCCATCATTTCGGGCTACATCAACGGCACTATACATCTACTCGCCTAGCAAGATAGCATAGTAAACTTTGCTTCTTGGGGAATTGTCCACTTTAGATCTCGACAACGACACCCCTTGCCACCAACTAGAATAGATGATAAGTTTTGGTTACCAGATTTAGACGATGAGATAGACCCATTCGAGAGTTGCTGCGAGGGAGGAGATCAGAGATTGACGGGTATTCACGTGCGGCTTCGGGGTTTAGTAGGCTTGCTTGATAAATTGGAGTTTATGCGTCACTGCTATGTAAGATCTTACATCCAAATTTGAGACTTCTAGACTTCCCTTCCAAGTGATTCCGCTGACCTCATAAAATATCGGTGACAATGGATGATTCGCAAGCAGAATAATAGCAATGGTACATTACATCAAGCTGTTGACATATTGTAACGGAACGCAGTAATGAGGCAAGAATACTAACAGAAGTTGATCACTCAAACTGAACTGTGTAGCACCGATAAGGAGACACGAATTTGCTACTTGTGTTTTCGATGTGATTTTTGAGAAAGATTTAAAGAATGTTAAGAGGTCAAACTCAGCAATTCCAGCACTAGTTTCCTTCTGAACAGAAGATGTTCTAAGCATGTCTTCCAGTTTCAAGTCAAAGGATGCGCAGAAAGAGTGAGTTCCGTGCCAACTATTCGGCCTTTCTATGCATTCGATACATCAGACTTATTTAAGTCAATATCTTGAGATTTCAAATAGTGAAGCTCACTACTTCTCTACTTGTCGGATGATATAGAGCAGCGCTCTACAATAAAATGCTGAGCGACGAGACTAAAGAGTGTTCCGGTTCGTCTTAGAAACTAAGTATTATAATATCCAACATCGGACGGCTACTGATACTTTGTGGCTGAGCTAGATATCCAGTAAAATGGTTAATTATCTGGATCAGAATTTTCACTTTAGCGGAACTGGGGGTTCCCGTTCAAAAATATTGGTCTCTGGCTCTCAACTATTTCTGTACCCATCTTCAAACTTCTTGAAAGGTCAGTACTGCGAATTATTCTAGGAGGCATTTGTTAAGCTTAGCTAATTGTTACAGATGGCGATTCTTTATTTTTTCAAAAGGGCTTTTACTGGTACAGGCCCTGGCGGTGGAAAGTCCTCTAACTTTCAGGATGTCAACTCTGGGTATGCATCTGTATCAGAGATTCCAACAGATAGGTTTGTTCCATCTCAGTGCAGAATCAAACCATTAAGAAGACTCATCACAATCACGGAAACCTCAACGATTATCGTCCCTTCTTCGACGCTAGGTGTTATACCGACGGAAACTCCTATAGGACCAACTGTAACTCTTACAGTACCATCTACCACTAGAACCTTGACTTCCATCGCAAAACCCACCGTATCTACCACTAAAACCTTGACTTCCATCGCACAACCCACCGTACCTCCCACTGGAATAGCTGCGATTGCTCTTAGTGAGATCTCTAGCTGGAATGCAATTGCCGCAACTGCGACAGATCCGATAATGAAGGGTGCATTGAAGTCCGCCATTAGTCAAGAGAGTCGGGTTGCCAGCTTGACTCCGGGTTCTTACACGGCTGTTATCACAATATCACCCGCTGAACAAACTATTATCGACAAGGCAAATAAAGATAGCGTTCGAAATCAACATACCACCACTATAGTCTTGAGTTGTTTCGCTGTTTTGCTGTTCCTAGGATGTATCTACATGCTCGGCTGGTACTTTCTACGAAAGTATCGTCGACGAAGAGGAAGAAAAATGCCCCCACTTACCGAATATGTTCCACCCAATTTAGGTTCTTTGGGCGGTTTAATAGCCGAGATGGGTCGGGAAAACGTTATTGAGCGAGAGGAACACGACAGTAGAACCGATAGGATTCATAGGGTTCCGAGGGCTCCAAAGCCTCCAAGAGTTCATAGTACTTTGCAAGAACTAGAGATTCCAGCAGGGTTTGCAGAGTTACATGGCTCTGTTCCAGAAATACAATCAGTGAGATGTACGGGACTACAACATGAAGGCGAAGGGGTAGCGAACTCAGAGAGAGTTCTCTGCGAAGTCTGAGGGAGATCCTAGTGATGGCTTTCAAATTTGATGTGCGGGCGGTTTTGGGCTGAGGGAATAGAGTTCCACTCGGGAACGATGCAAGTGTTATTTCATTTACTTTGATACTCTTTTGGTCTAGATCTTGATCTTGAAAATACTCCGGGATGAGACATACAAACTCCAATGGGAGGTCATTCATATGAAGATTATGCATCCCTCAACTAGTTTAATAATTTTCACAACTCTTCACAAATTCTCATGTGCAGTTACGATAATTTAGATCAGTAATAGCAGTTGCTGACGTGAAACAAAATTTGGTGTGCTATGAAAGTAAAGCCCCGCATGAATGACTTGGACAAAAATTTGGCAATAGATAAAACTCGGAGAGACATATGCAAGGTCTACTAGGGATTCTGTTTACTTGACTAACAAATCATACCTACCTACACGATGCATATACAACTTCTTCGTACAAAAGACAGATTATCACGATTGGAACGCAAATATTGAGATTGAATTGATTGATCGTGTACAACTTGAAGCGTCTTCCCTTCACCTTTATTCCACCCTACCAAAGAGAAAATAGGTGTTCTTGGTATTCTCTAACATGCAAAGAGCAAGCCAAGGCTCGATAGTTGAGCCCAAACCATCTAGTCTAATCACCCACCATCTTTTATGTAGCTTGCTCTTTAGCAGGGCCTCAGCAGGCATTCATGATCTAGCACAATTCTTCCCAGAATGCTAACGATATCTAAATTCTAGAGGGGGTTCCCCAATAGAGAGCTTACCTGGCTCGCGCACATTCCTGGTGTGTCTCAAATTCGTACACCGTTTCTTGTCAACCTAATGAGTCTGACTCTTGGACCTCCGAGACGTCTCATGTTAGCCTTTCTAGCACCTTCATCACGATGGAGCCTTTGGTGTCGGATATCTGCCTCGTCGCAAAGTTCGATAAACTCTCCTAAATATCTCTCATAGCACACCCGAGTTCCGTCTTTGTTTAATTCCATCAATTCCCAGTGCTCATAAGATGTGCATTCTGTCGGACCATCATTAATTCTAACGACGAATAGGACTTCTTCGATGGCGTTACAATCTCTAATCAAACCGTAAATAGATGGAAAGCGTTCTCTCGAGTTTGCAAGAGTTACATCAAACGCAATGCTGTGGGCGGGCTTAAAGATATCTCTTATGTTGCCATTGGCAGATATGAAATTGTAAAGTCTACCTGTTACAGATCGCCACATAATATACCATTTGTCGTAATAGATCGTGTCTGCTCGAAGATTTGCATGGATGAGGAACTCATCAACAGCAAGCTTTGTCTTGTTGTAAGTTCCTGGCATTTTATGAAAGTGTTTCTGGGATCCAAAAGAATGCTTGTAAATTTCAAAGCTTCCATACGAGATTCGCGGTTGATTTGTAGTACACTGGCAACCACGTTTATAGTTCGTAGATATACTGTTCTGTCGCCGGCTGAATCTAGAACTAACTCTTCTTGCAAGGCAAAAACACGAGGCATAAAGGCCATAAACTCTCCAGATCCTCAAGCGCAATTTCTGGAGCGAGACGTGGAAAACAAGTGAATGTATCAAGCTTTTTGCCGTTGCCGATATTCAAAGATTCTGAAGACTTCTTTTAACTTGCAGATATCAGACAACTAATGGTAGATGGTGCCCGGTCGAAGAAGTCGTCTGTCGTCATCGCATATTCTGCCTCGTAGTGCCATGTCAGATCAGCAATCTGATGTTCTCTCGTGTGTATTTCGGGCCAGCTACAGATTCTTTCTAATTCAGAATCGTCGGCGTAACGGACGGGCTTGGCTTTCTTCAACTCATCTCGAGAAGTTCGATGGAAAGGTGTATGCTTAATTAAGCTCATAAATGAAATATCTTTATTGCTACCTTCTTCGGCAGCTGCTGTGACATTTCCGAGAGGTGCGAGGAAGTGATTCGCGTTGTAATTGAGTGTTATACCGTCGTTATTCGTTGTATTGAAAGGAAAGGTTGATGATCTAGATTGCTATGGGTGATCAGAAATGATGATGTGAACCTGGGGTTGTTGGTTGCAGATTGCACGTCGGAAAGCTGAGTGGAAGTCACGGACTTAAATTACAAGAATTCGATATGACCTAAATAAAAGGTTGTAGTGAATTCTCAACTCAGCCACACAGTAGACCAGATGGATGTTATCATTTTTTATTTATATCTGTGAGAAGGGTGAATTTCTTCTTTCCTCTGATAGACCTATTTCCAACAAAAAGATCAATTGTATCACCAAGTACGAATCTCCCAAGTATGGTGATTCATAATATCCTGACTGCACGGCACAGTCTGCCTTTTCTCTAGGACAGATATCCAATAATAGTATGGTATATCTCCTCACATCAACGGCTTATGACTATAGATTTATCGTTGTAGTACATCCCGAGGTCCTCTAAGAAATCGTATACTAAAATAGATTGTAATTGCTATTCTTAGAGCCACTTGATTATGTGATTCTGCCCCTCTCCTATAGCTATTGCTCATGATACAAGTAGCGCCAAAATACTCCTCGCATACATGATGTATATCTCGATCGATGAATGATTTTCGGTAGGTCAATTAGATAATATACATAATAATGCACATCAAGAATAATACAAGCAGAAGAGGCCTCCGCAAAGCGTAAACAATCAATTCACAGTCTGACCTCCACTTGGGCTAGGAAGAGGCCGGCCTATCATGGACTGAGTTAACCTTAAGTGGTGGGAGTCTGATCTCTCCTCTGAATATCTTGCTAATAATCATTAATACGAGATTGCCAGGATTATTAACAATGAGGTTTGCGATTAAGCTCCATGTCGCGGATGGCACTTATAGTCTATTCTGTCCAGGATATGCGTAGTCAAGGATACTGATCGAATTTGTCTGAGTCCTCAAGACCCATCGAGTAAAGCAATCTATACAGTTCATCATAGATGTACAAGAAACATCAATGGGAAAATGATTGGTGAGTCTCAGTGCAATGTTCGTTGAGAACGTTGGGATGATATTGAGTGTAAGGCAAGTCGAGGATCGTGAAATCGAGGTATTGAAGTATTGGATATTTTTGTCGATGAGTGAAGCAACAGGTTCTGAGTTACTTTGATCATTTTCTACAATGGGCATTTGTGTTAACGCTAATATGTAGGTTTAGCTTGGATTCCAAACTATGCAACTTCTTTGACTAAGCATGACTTCTAGTCAGAAGTCTGACTTACGAACCATGCATTTGTTCGAAAGAGGAGTTCTTGACTTGGAAATCCTCCCGTTTAGGTACGATTAGGAACATCTTCGAATCACACTGTTGATGTCGTCGTCTTCGCTTAGATCATACCGAAAAGGAGAGCCCGGCTCACGTGACAATGTAACGTCACATGATATGACTTTTCCGGATTATCTCTCGACCGAGAGTGTAACATCGTGTGTTCCACCAGCTCAAGAATAACACCCAGCAGCCGTCAGTATCATTAACCACCATGTTGTGATAGGGTGATAGGCGCTCTGGTAGCACATCACGGAATTGACAAGCTTGCATCTTCACCTCTACTAAAAACGTTCACATATCTGGGCGCGCCGCTTTCGAAACATCATTTTAGGAAACAGAGAGCGCTTTCATCGAAAAACTATTTGTTCTACAATAAGATGTATTCAATCTCATGTGAATCAGAATTGACGGGTCTGGGAAGGAATTCTCGTTGGCGTTTCACGGTGTCTAAACATGATGAATCGGTTTCTGTCATTTTATTTGCATTATTTGTCGTCATTGCTATTTTGTTCATCATCGGGAAGCTTTAAAAGTTTGAAGTTTGGTTTGAATTTCATTGTTTGTAATTATAGATCGAGCAGGCAAGGGTTCAATTGAATGCTTTGAAGCTACATGGCCGTGATGGATTCATCTATCTCCGCCCGAAATAATCGGCGCATTCATGTCTCGACTATTCTCTTTAGTATTGTGATTATTTCATTAGAAGTTTTTACTGAATTCATTGACTACTCCTTTCATAATGACCGAACCCCAGTTTTACCAAGTTTGACAGTTCATATACTCGTTGCTCGTCTTTAGGACCCTGATACTCCCTCCATTGTTTCCTCGATATCCTCCAGCCGGCAATTCCAATCAATCCCAACAGCATAACTCCTTTGAACCTCCTCGCAATACTATTTTCGAAACTATCTGCTTCCGAAATCCCAGTAAGTCTTCTAGGGAGACAGCACACAACTGCAACAGGCCCCCACGAGTCCTGGCTACTCGCAAGCCACTATCCCAACGCGAAGATTTGGGTGTCTAGCTGAAATTTCTCTCGGAAACAACAAAGTCTTTATATCTCCAACTGCGGGGCGTATGCGTAACATTCTTTGATACGAGTTTATGGGTGGTATCTGGAGAAATGGCACAATACAAGATCTCACATAGATCGAGTCTTGATTTGTCAAATCCGATACAGCTGGTTTGACAAGTATTCACCTTCTACAATACATCTTGCAAAGCCTCTTGCCTGATGATCCCGGACACAGGAATATTTTGCTTGAAGACTGGTTAGATTAACATGGAGATATCAGAATGAGAAGTGGTACAAGATGGAGATAAAGCTTCCAAACTTACACCTTGACCCGAATACTTCACACACAGATCAAAGTCAATCTCTTACGCTGAAATCCCCTCTATTCCCCCGAAAATACTATCTCGACAAGCAGAATCGACATACCTTCCAGGCTAGCTTCAAACTCAAAAGCTACAAATACCGACCACTGATTTAACTCGATAACAATCAACAAATCTCACAGAAATGCCGCATTCTTGCCAAGATTCGCTTTTTCCATCTTCTCACGCCGAAACAGGGCTATCCGTCTTTCTTCTAATTCTCGAAGCTTTCAACGACATATCTACAGAGTCCGTCATTTATTTCAAAAGCTATTGCTAGCAGAAGTACATCTACAAAGTATTTCACACCATCGTCCCGATTTCCCAGCAAACTGATTGATCCTCGAATTTCTTGAGAATGCATGTTAAAAAATAAAGTTAGAGACCACAGGAACAGATAGGGTAATGGGTAGGCAGCCAGATACGGAATTATATCACACGGGTATGATAACCCTCCCGCGGCTCTGAACAGACTGAGTTTATGAAGGAAGAAAAAAATCAAAGACGTTCTTGGTGGATAAGTTGGATGGCTAAAAAGAGATTAGATGAACTATTCTCGGATCTCGCAATGGATTACTGAGTGGATGTGCCTGGATTTGAAAGATGGGGTATGAGCTGTATTTCATAAGACTGGCATGGCAGTATGAGACACAAAAAATCTCATGCTCTTTCCAAAATTCGTTTCATTCCGGTGATGTTCCATTACTACTTTGACAGTTAGATCGCCGTAAGCACCCAGCCAGACTTAAACTACCATCCATTCTTCGACGGATTTTGTGTCTGTCTATGGATAAACTCCTCATCATTTCCCTCGTTGGGGACGATGTATAGAAAGTCTTAATCCTTCAAGGAAGATAATAAAGTAACGCCTGACTCCACGCTCAAGCACAAATCCGAACCCATAATTCCCATCTCCATGCATCCGTGCGTGCATGCGTGCTTCACACCACAGTGCACAGTTCTCCCATTCTAATCAATATATTTCACACCCATACAAACACACATACACACCCCCACTAAACCTACTTAACCCTCGCCATGATCGTCTCCCCCCCTCTCTCCAAATCTCCCATCACATTCCCCCACCTCTCCTTCACTCCCTTCAGCATACTCCTATCAAAATCATCTCTCGCTCTCAACACTGCCTCCACCCATCCAAGTTGCAAATCCCAATATTCTCTCTTGAACCCCTCTACCACATCCTGCACCGCTCCCTTCTCGCACTCCAAAATCTCGAGGAAACTTTGCGTCACCGCCCATTTGCCTACGATGACATTCCTTACATCTTCCGTGAGATACGTATTACTATTGAAGAACTCAAAGGCGGTTGAGACATCGTTGAAGATTTTATCTTTAAATGGATCCGCTCTCTTGAATTTCGCGCCTTTGTTGCGGACGCAGCAGAGATATCGAATGAGCAGTTCGATGGCGAGTTCTTCGATGAAGATATCTAGTAGTGATTGATGAAGGACATTCTTATAATCATTGATATATTCTTCGAACGTGACAATCATTTGCTTCATAGCTGTATTTGTGTACCATTTTGGTGTGAAGAAATCCGGCATGACGGTTTTGAAATCGACGGCGAAAATCAAGGTTGCGAATTTGGATATGCAATGGGTACTCAGATCGACATATCCATCATTTAGGCTGGTGATCTCGACGTCTACTCGTTCGAGGT